ATCAGGGAATCTTTCCATCTCTAATATAAATATATATATATATATATATATATAAAAAAGAAAAGAAAACCTTGAGATATAACGTAACGTTGTTGTAGAAAATTGTTGTGTATGATGCCTAATCATAAGCTTGTTCAGAAAGGGTGACAAAAACTTGATTATTAAAAAAATAACGTCTTTCTCGTTAAACGTCATTTAAATAAACAAATATTCGAATATTAGTTTTTTATGAGCCCAAATATTCGAATACAGTATTTTTGAAAAATGCCTATCCCTAATAGATAGAAATCACACTTTTGAAGTTGGGGTTTCGAAGGCAGTGGGAATCTTGGTTGTTCAAAAGGAAACAAAAAGTTAAGTTGTTTTTGAAGTTGTTTTGTCTGACATGAAAAGTAAATATCTTGATTTTTCGTTGTTTTGTCTTATTTTAAGTAATTGTAAGTAAACTAAAACTGAAACAAAAATTTTTAAAAAGTTTTGTTACTTGGGGAAAAAAAATGAACAGAAATAAAATATAAAAAACTTATTTCATCTAGTTGCCTAGGCAACATTGCATCATTTTAATTTAGTTTAACTTGATGTCCTAAAGTAACTAAAACTAATAAAAAAAAAAAAAAAGTATATATAAGAAAAACAACTAAAATAACAAAAACAACAAAACTACAACTTTTACAAAAAAATTAATGAAAACTGAAAATATAAAAATAAAAACTATAATAGTATCTCAATGGTACTAGAATAACATTGCCCCCTAGTGGGCCCTGGCACTAGTAGGTCTGAAACCCTGTGTAATATACAGCTGTTTTAGAGTCTTCGCTGCACAATATATGCAATATTTTTATGAAAAAGTATGTGTTAACTCTGTTTACAACCATCTCTTAAATTCATGGTACATACAGTAGATTTGCTTCAAGTAAGACATGTTAAATTGTTACTCAAAAGTACCTAAGCATTGTTTCTGTTATCATGCTGTAGGTAACCAGGCTGGGCGGCCTGCAGAGAACCTGGAATCGTCAGGACAGGAGGAACAGAGAAACGGCCTCAGGAAATCCAGCAAGGACCGAAAAACTGGGCATGAGGAGTCGTCCCCCTCTGCCACCGCCACTCAGGGAGCACCAGCCAATGAGAGGACTCACCCCGCAGAGGAACGGCCCAATGACAGCACCGATTTAACTGACAAGTGTAATGTGAAAGCGGAGGGGGAGGGCAGCTCAGGTGAGACTGACACCCCAAATGCTGCTGCTGATGCCGCTGCCAACGACCTGGATTTTGACCTTTCGAGCGACAGCGAAAGCGAGGGTAAAACAGGATTATCTGACAGCGATGGTGAAGGACGGCCGGTGGATGCTGGGAAAGCCAAACAAAGCCAAACAAAAACCGAGGAGCAAAAAGGATGTTTGCTTTGTAAAAGCAAAGAGGATGGCGGGGAAGGGGACAAACAGAGGACAGAGGGGGACGACGTTCCAGAAACAGATCCCGAGGGTCTCGGTGATTTGGGCAACGGCTGTTCTGACAAGAAAGAAGTGGAAACAGAGTCTCAAAACAGCGAGCAGTCAGGCGTCACAATGGGTGAGGAGTCTTTAGATCACAGTATGGAGGATGAGGACGATGAGGAAGAGGAAGACATGGACCAGGACGACCACCTCATTTACTTGGAGGAGGTTTTGGTTCGCATCCACAGTGAGTATTACTCACGCTACGAGGCCTTCCTCAGGAAAGAGAGTCCAGAGAGTCCGGACATACGGAAGATCATTCCCGAACTGAAGGGCCGCGCGCTGGCGGGCACCACCATCATCTTCAGTGGCCTGTATCCCACCAACTACTCAATGGAGCGCACGAGGGAGTGGTTCCACACCAAGGCGCTGGGTGCCAAGCTTGGCAAGACCCTGGTGCTCAATGCCAAAGACCCAAACCTCACCACCCACCTTATTGCTGCACGCGCAGGTGAGTCTCGCATGCTTCAAACACCAGTTACGAAGGGATGTTTTCAAAAGCGAGTAGTCGGTGGGTTGTTTGAACAACTAGTCGGTCTTAAGGGCGTCCTGTGGGGCTGCACATTTAATCAAAATTAAAACAAAAATTGTGATTATGGCTTAGTGTGACTATTAAATTGCAAAAGCTGTGATTTAATTAAATAAGCAATGCGTGTTGTTGAGTGAAGCGCAGCACTGTGTTCGTTTACACATGAGCAGCACATGATCTGTTTTCAGTGTCTCAGAGCGGCTCGTTTAACAATAGATGCTGCTACATTTGAACTCCATCTCTGCTTTGAGTTTCGGGTTGCGTTAACGCACATTTTGTAATGAGAAGCGCTTATAAGCTGACTGTTGTCAACAAAAGATAAACTTTATTTTTTTTAAATATGCAGTTTTTAAAATTATAAAATTAAATTGTATCAATATTTATTATTTTAAGATTTGTATTATTATTATTATAAATAATTAATAATAGTAATATTAACCTTTTTGTAGTTATTGTTGTGATATTAATATATAATCATAAAATTTTTGGCCAAATTTTGCAGCACTTCAAACAAGCACAGCACTGTAATTTTACAATTTTACTGTAAAAAAAAAAAGTAAACTTTTTTTTTTCCAGTGAAAAATATTAAGTCATTTATTTAGTTTAATATTTAATGTAATAATAATAATGATAATGATAAATATTCATAATAACATTCTTTTATTATTATTATTACCTAGTCATATTGATATATAATTATAACATTTTTGGCCAAATTGTGCAACAGGGACAGCATTTTTTTATTTTTTTTAATTCGCAATTAAAATTCCCCCTAAATCTTTAAGCTCTAACGTCTTGTATAATTCCACTACACACCAATCAGACACATTTCTTACTGATATATGGACATTTAATTGCAGTTATTATATAAATGGTATTCAGAAAATTTTGCACAAAGCTATCACAGTCCTTTAAAAAGTTTCTTTACAGGTTTGTATGCTGGTGCCACTCATATCTCTGCTCTAAGCTGTTTTTAAATGCCACCAAGCAATGCTTTGTGTGAGGTTGAGATTTATTATGAACCGTTTGTTAATGTGATGAGCAGATGTGTTGATTAGTAATTATTTAAGCTGTATATGACTCAGCTGATTGGTGCCTTATGTATCATGAGTAGAGGAGAAGAACTTTGTCTCAACTCTCTGCTCTCAGAGAGGTCAACACAAATGATGGCCATAGTGAAATGATGAGCGCTTCAAACCATGTGGAAACCCATCACACATTTGTTTTGTGTCACTTCAGAGCAGGTTTGTTTCTCTCTAATTGCTCGTTATCTGTAAGAGAATGGCGTTGTCAGTTCTCACCTGTTTGTAGCAGCACAGGATTTGGATGACACTGTTTCCTGTACGGTCCAGGTGTGACTCAACACCTGTCAGAGATGTCTCTGGTACTATGGTGTCCTCGTTTGTCCAGCTTGACTGACTGTAGACACTCCAGACAAAACATTTTCACCAGTAGCACAAGGGCTTTGCTTTATATGCACAGCACAATTTTAATTTCGCGTGTCAGTGAGGATGTCAGAATATGACATTGTCTATTGATTATATATAACAGCCAGAGTTTGCTGTACGATCGGAATCAATGACATGATTTTTTTAAATTCACATCCATTAATTTCTTAACAAATGCATAAAAAATTTAATTCATACATAAGCAGCTAATGAGAGGAGGAGTGGAAGGAAATCCACAAAGCCAGACGGGAGAAAAAAGAAACAGAGAGCTGCCAAACTTTCTCTCCCTGTACTGTATATTTTTTTGACAGCTTTTCACAGATCTCAGCCTTTGGTGCCAAATTATTTGTCTGGTGGCTGGCTTGTGTAATTGCGTGGATGTCCTTCCCGCTTTCTGATCTATCGTTTATACAGACACAACTTCACACGTGATCAATTCAGACAAGAACGGCCAAACAGGACGTTCCGTATTTAAAGTCAGTAGGTGGCCGTGAGCAGATTTAATTCATGTCCTATTTGGACCGACATGATTAGTGCTGTTTGAGAGGACAAGCATCACTTTTGCTCATGGCACTATACTTATTTAGACTACACTGGGAGAGAAGTATATATGCATATAGATATAGACAGCAGACGGAGTCAGAGTTGCGCATGCAGAACTAAACCACTGAAATTCTGTTTTAGAACTTTGTAGTTTTATAAACTTTTCAAACTTTGAATGTATTTTCGATAGCTAGGAGCAGAGATCGCAGTGGAGGAATAGAAAAGTGTGTCTTGGCATTTTGCATTTGGTTGTAAACATTTATTTGTTTATTTTTATCTGTTTTCTTTTGCTGTGGCACTGACTACGTTCCTCGCTGCTGATAGTGGAGTGAGAAACACTGGCCAGAAACATACAGATGGAAAGTGTGTTGTTTTTTTATGTATGCGTGTCTCCGTCAGGTACCGAGAAAGTTCGTCAAGCTCAGGGCTGTAAACATCTCCATGTGGTGAATCCTGATTGGTTGTGGGCCTGTTTGGAGCGCTGGGAGCGAGTCGAGGAGCGACTCTTTCCGCTCAATGAGGACTATAACAAATCACACAGGTATTTATCTCTCGCAGTCTGTCTTTCCTGCTTTTCTTTATCCTTTATGTTCGTGTGTGCCTTTCAGCATTAAGATTGTAAAAACAATATTCTGTTTTTTCAGTATTTTGTCGTGTCTGCTGAATGTTTCATTGTGCTTGAACTGCACTCACTGAACTGCAACACTCATGAATTAGGGCTGGGTATCGATTCAGATGTTCCAATTCGATTCGATTTCGATTTTCAAGCTCTCAATTCGATTCGATTTCGATTTTCTATTCGATTTCGATTTTCGATTCGATATTCGATTCGACTCTAATACAATTATTGTTATAATTATCCGAATAATTATTGTTCTTAGTGTGAACAGACCTTTACGGTGCTTTTTATGTGCTTTATGTAACCTGTTCACTTAAGACTTTAAGTGTAATTTTTGACTGATTTCATTTAACTTTTTTTTTTTGGTTTAATGTAAAATGGTTTCTATCTGAGTTGTTTGAAAAAGAGTCTTAAGTGGTCATAAAAATGTCACCTTGACTGTTCATGGACAAAATTGACTAACTGTAGGAAATTAATGGGAATATATATATATATATTTTTTTTGTGTTGAAAAAAAAAAACTGCATGTCAGGACACAATTTGTGTATTTGCTTGTGCAAATAATGGTGAAATGGAAGATTTTACACCTAAAATCTAAATGACCTAAAATTCCAAAAGAAGTGCCTAATTTTATTGTTACTATATACAGTAGGGGTGTACACGTATTCGTATTGAAAATTTTCGGTACGGGTCTTTCGGTTCGATACGCATGTGTACCGAACAAATACAGCATTGTTTTAATCACTGCATGAGCAGAACTTCATTTTAAAGGGGTCATACGATGTTGCTAAAAAGAACAGTATTTGGTGTATTTGGTGTAATGAAATGTGTTTATGCGGTTTAAGGTTCAAAAACATAATTATGGATTATAATGACTTTTTACGCATTGCGTTGCATCGCGCTGCGTAAACATAAAACCATGTCTGCATTTGTGATCGGAGAAATGACAAACAACAAGTGCTACTCTACACTGCT